TTTTACAAACGTGTCATTAGACTGAAGCCTCCTATTAATGCAGTTCTCACCCCATGACTTGAAAAGCTTCAAAAACGTTCACTGGGGTTGGAGAGCTGGCACAGCTATTAAAGATTTAGGCTCACAATCAAAAACATTCATTGAAAGATATTTTGATGGGGTTAGCAAGCTTCCAGTCTCATATTCTTTTTTATCTTATTTTTTATTTATTTTTATATCTGTAAATGTCTTGCATGCATGAATATAAGTACGCCACATGCATGCAATGATCACAGAGGCCAGAAGAGGGTGTTAGATCCCCTGGAACTGAGGTTATGGGCAGTTGTTGGCTGCCCTGTGGGTGCAAACCGCCATCCTCTGGAAGAGCAGCCAGTGCACTTAACCACTGGGCCATCTCTCCAGCCTCCAGCCTCATATTCTCAAAATATTCATGTGAATCATATGACTTTAGATTATCCTCAGTCATTTCTAAGGGAAACACCTACCAACACCACCAAGGTACTTTATAATAAGAAAGCACTGGCCAGACAAAGAACTCCAGACTAGAAAAGGACAGAGACAGGAAGAAACTAGTATTGGCTAAGTACTCTCTACTTCCTTTATTTCTTATTTAAGCCCTCATGAGTAGTTAACATTGACCAGACCTCTAACTATCAAACTTGAAATGTTTAATAAGGAAACGTATTACGTTGGTTTACTTCTTGGGAGGATGATGAGAGCATGAGCACGTGCCAAGGTAAACATGTAGCTCTCTCCTTCTATCGTGTATACTGGGGATCTAATTCAGGTCATTAGACTGGGCAGCAGGTACCTTTACCTGCTAAACCATCTTCCCTGCCCCACACTGGGAAAATATCTCTTTTGCTTTGTAGAAAATCTTGCCCACACATATTGGCTGGTACATATCAACTCCCAGATTCATATATTTGAAGCCAGACTTTTCTAACTCTGGATTTTACATCCAGCTATCTCTTTCATATCACACTTGACCATCCCAACCAAATGTAACCCAGCCCACCAGTCTCCTGCCTTCCCCTTCCCAGATTTCAGTTCAGCCAATTACACTTAAACAGGTTTCCAGTTATTCAGGCCCCAAGCACTGGAATCCTCTCTCTCTCTCTCTCTCTCTCTCTCTCTCTCTCTCTCTCTCTCTCTCTCTCCACTTATAATCTATCAATAAATTCTGGAAGCTCTTCCATTTAAATATTTCCAGAATCCAAGTATTTCTCCCCCTCCTAGCAACAATCACCCCGGATTAGGCTGTCTTCATTTGGATTAACAAATGGCCTCCATGTTTGCCCTTCAAGTCTATTTTCCCATTCAAGTCCTAACCAGGCCTGACTCTACTTGGCATCTGAAATCATAGGATATCAGGCATGTTTTGGATGGCATAGCTGTGGACCCACCAATCTATTCTCAGCACAGCAGCCAATGTCATTGCTTAAATCCCAAGTCAGAGCATGTTCGTCCTCTATGCAAAACTTCTGATAGCTTCCCAAACCTTCCCATGCACAAAGCCCTGTGAGTTACCCTCACCTGCCACCTCTTGTTCTTCACCTCTTCCCACCTTCCTTACTGCTGCTCTTACATCGAGTTTTATAGATACTCTGCTTTCTCTGGAACATACTCCTGTGCCTTGCCCTCATTTCTTTTCATAAATAACATTTGATTAGAGTGCTCTTAATCTTGGCGATAGAGTATCCTGCTTTTCTCATGGAAATATTTTTCTTCATAAAGAAATATCCAAGTGTGTGTGTGTGTATGTACATGTATATGTTTATTGTTTGTATCTATGTGTATGTAAGTAAGCAAGTGTGTATATACTCACATATATGTGCACACATGTGTTTATGTGTGTGCAGGTACTGGCAAATGATGGCCTAGGACCAATCCAATCTGGTCTACATTTTAATAGACACAGATAAGAATGGATTTTATATAATTAAAGGGTTATACAGCAAAAAGAAGGGGAAATGAATGAATGGATGGATGAATATGTAACACAAATCATGTGTGAACTACAAAGTCTAAAAAAACTATACATGACTACTGCATTTACATTATTTTCACTCCTCCCTCTCCCCCTCCAGCTCCTCCCATGTCCCCCCACTCCCTCTCAATTTTTTATCCTCTTCTTTGATTATTACTGTTATATACACAGGCAAGCAATAGATGTTGAGGGAGGGAGAATTGGTTTTCTCTGGGAATGAAGTCCCTGATAGATAGTCCAAAACCTAAAACATTTTGCATCCAGTCTTTCACAGAACAAGGCTGCCAGTCTGTGTCTTATCATTTTGTCTCCTCCTAGAACTTAAACCCCTTGAGGACAGGGACCTTTATCATCATATCCCCGTGACATAGAATAGTTCCCGGTGCAATGCAGATGCTAAATAAGCATTTTTACATGGATGTATGGGTGAATGAAGACAGCAGACCTCAGTGAAGTCTATGGACTTGTTTAGGGTCACACAGGAAGTTGACAGGTGAACCAGAACTCAAACCCAGGTTTCTCTCATTCCACATCTGTATGATAAGGTCCGGGAGCCATTTGCAGCGGTATTTGAACCTCCTGTTTTCTATCCCAGGCTCCACATTATAAACTGTGTCTAATGCACATATAAGGAAAAGAACTCTTGCACAGACGCAGAAAGGAGAGAAAGACACATTGTGCTGCAGAAAACCTTGAGAATTCTCTCATGATAAGCCTCTGCCTGGTATCAACCACAGTCAACAGGTTCTCACAGGCATGATCTCTTTTGTGATCATCTGATATCTGAATAAAACAAGACAAATGTTGCTATTGTCATTGTACATGTTGTAAAACTGAGTTTTAAGAAAGTCAAGGGAACAGTCTATAAAGAGAGGCAAAGACAATAGAATTCAGATTTATCACTTTTAACAGTTTTCTACTCTAACAAACCGGACCATCATGTACCTCACAATTCTGTTGATATAGGAGGCTAGAGAGGTGGCTCAGGGGATAAAAGCACTTGCTGTTCTTCCAGATTACCCAGTTTCAACTCCCAGTACCCACATGGCGGCTCTGTCCTTCTCTTCTGACCTTCACAGGCATTACACACACCAATAAACATACCAGAAATCAAAACACTTGCACAAATAAAAAGAAATATTTTTTAAATAACAATAGTTCTACTGAAAGGAAAATGTGCTACCACAGACCTGAAGGAATTTCTAATAAAATAGCAGGCATCTCTTAATAACTTCAAAAAATCAGGAGTACTCTATTTCACTTGGAGTTCTATGCTATGAAAGAAAACTTCCTCAGCTACAAATGGTTTCCTTTGACGGGCCAGAGGCAGTGTCAATATCAGAACCTGGAGTGAAAAGTAGTAAGTAGAATGGCCAAACAGATCACGTTGTGGGCTTTTATTGGTGTAACAATAGCCCAAGATTCTGGAGCAGTCAGGCTCATGATCATCTTCAAGAAGGAAGTCAAGAGAACTGACAGTTATGCTAGCTGACATGAATAGCCACAGCTTTCATCTCCTGGACCAGCTGCTACATCAAATCAGCCATCCTCTGGAGCAGCTGACTTTAGAGCTGAGTGTCTACCTGAGACTGTGTATGTGTTTCATGACTGCCAAGGCCAGCCTTAGTAACTATAACTGCCAGGGGCTGTGATTACATGCAGAGCAGGGGTCACGATGACATGTCCTGGGGTTCATTTGAATCTGACAGGAGGCTGAACACCAGTTACCAGTTCGGAGTATGTGTAACAGCCCAATTTTAAATGTGTCTCCTTGCCTCTGTAATTCTCTTATAGGCTGTCAGGACATACATACCCACTTTCCTAACCCCAGAAAATGCTATCTCTATAATAACCAATACCATCGCACTGGATTTTGTTCATTTCCCCATCTCTTTACCTTAGAATATGGCACAATGATCAGGGAGCTTAAAACAGTATCATTTTCAGTGTTAGAATATGCAATAAATATCTGTGAATATTGAATCAAGTTTAATAATGATAACTATTCTTCCAAATAACTTATGTAGAGATTAAGAAAAATTTAACTATATAACTGTAAATGTACCAACCTTTAGACTAATATCCTCTCTCTCTCTCTCTCTCTCTCTCTCTCTCTCTCTCTCTCTCTATAAAAGAGTCTTGTCATAGCCCACGCTGGCCTCAAGCTCAGTCTTAGTGCCTCAGTCTTCAGAGTGCTGGGATTACATGTGGTTGCCACCACAGCCAATTTAAGTCTCTTTATGAAATAAATTGTTCTATTTCATGTGGAAGCAAGATTAGTCATTGAAGTGAAGAAAATAAGGCAAAAGCCAAATTCTTTACCCATTTGTTACTTTTCTCATCACTGTGACAAAGAGGCAATTTAAGAATTTATTTGGGCTCATAGTTTAAGCAGATATAGTCCATTGTGGTAGGGACAAGTAACTGGTCTCATTGTGGCCACGTGGCCACAGTAAAGAGAGAGAGAGAGAGAGAGAGAGAGAGAGAGAGAGAGAGAGATGAATATTGCTACACAGTTGGTTTTCTCCTTTCTCCTTTTTTCCCTTTCTATTCACTCTGACTCTTCTGCCCAGGGTATGGTGGACCATCTCTTCTCAATTAAATCTCCCTGGAAATACCCTCACAGACATGTCCAGATGTGTTCCATTAGTGCCTTACGTATCTCTTAATCCAATCAAGTCACCAATCAAAATTAGCCATAATATCTGAGAAATATTTGTATCAGAAAAACAAAATGAAAAGACGCAGATTGAGAACCACTCACAGTCAGGTGTTAGGTAGCATCTATGCATTAGGTGTAATGCTTGATATGATATTAAAGTACAATGTGACATTTTTAGAAGCTGTCTTGCTACTTATGTGCAATATTCCAAGAAAAGTCTACAGTAGGAAAGATGCTTCTGAGAACCTTGCATATATGCCATATCAAATAATATAACAGTATAATATCATTTATAATGATATAATCATGCAATTATATGATATGATATAATATTATTTTTGTTGTCAGGCTTGAGAAAGAGATCCAAGATCTTGAAAAGGCTGAACTGCAAATCTCAATCAATGAAGAAGCAATTTTAAAGAAACTAAAATCAATCGAGAGAACCACAGAAGACATAATAAGGGTAAGCACAACTAATTTTAAAACTATGATTATCTATCAAATGTCTCCTGTACTGTACTATGTAGCATCTCAAAGTATTCCCATATTTATTTTTTAAAATAAATTAATAGGAGATGGAGAGATGGCTCAGCAGTTAAGACCACTGGCTGTTCTTACAGAGGACCTGGGTTCAATTCCCAACACCTACATGGCAGCTAACAACTATCTGTAACTCTCAGCTCCAGGGGAATCCAACACCTTCTTCTGACCTCTGCAGGCAATAGATGCATACACATAAAATAAAAATAATAAATATAATATTTTAAATGGTAATAATAATTATAAAAAATGTTTTTAAATTAATCATGGAGAATTCTTTTTTGTCTTACAGTCTGTGAAGGTGGAAAAGGAAGAAAGTCTGGGAGGTAAGTTTCTGCACAACCTATCCCATGTCTGAGCAAGATCCTTTTTATAAGATCACTGACATTTTCCCTTTATTAGACATAAATCTTAAATCTATGTTAAATGTATTTTGATTTCATATCAATTTTACAGAGTCAATTGAGGACATCTATGCTAATATCCCTGACCTCCCAGAATCCTACATACCTTCCAGATTAAGAAAGGACAGAAATGAAGGAAGAGAAGAGGATGAACAGAGTAGAAAAGGTATATGATAAATCTACATTCAATGACATATTTTCAACCTCAGAGATTTAATCTTTAAGATTTATTTTGTGTATGTATGCATGTGTGTGTATGCAATGTCTGTGTGAGTGCAGACATGTGCATGGAGGTCAGAGGACAGCTTCCAGGAATCAGTTCTCTCTTTCCACTTGTTTGAAACAGCATCTCTCTCTCTCTTTCTGCCAGGCTACCTGGCCCACAAGAATCTGACCAACTCTCTTACCTCTGCCTCCCGTCTCACCTTAGGAGTGCTATAATTGCAGATGTGTATCACCACATCTGGCTTTTTTCTTTTAACATGGGTTCCAGGGATTAAACTCAGGTCATCAGGAAGAGGAAGGTGTTCTCTAACTGCAGGTAGCAGTTACTCACCCAACAAATATTTAAATATTTGATTTATTTATGTTTTTATGTGTATGTTTTACCTGCATGTATGTAAGTGCATCATGTACATGCATTGTCCATGGAGGCCAGATGAGGGCATTGAATCCTCTGGAACTGAAGTTACAGATGGTTATTAGCAGCCATGTGGGTGCTGGAAACTGAACCTGGGTCCTCTGCAAGAGCAGCCAGTGTTCTTAACTTCTGAGCCATCTCTCCAGCCCCCTCAACAAATATTTAATGAATCCCTACTATACACCAAGATCAGTTATGTACACAGTAGGTATTCGCTAAATAAATTGTTTAGGGACTGTAATACAGAAGAATGAGGTAGAGATGTAAGGCAGGGGGGTCCTGTAGGTTTAATTTGGTATCTAGGGAAAGCCAAAAACCATCAGGCAACAGAGAAGGCAGGAAATGCAAGATAAATTAAAGGAAAATGGGAAGATCCAGCAAACACAAGCAAAGACACACTGTAATTCTGCAACGAACCCCATTCCCTTCAGCTGCTAAAATTCCAGAATGGGGCCCTTGCCTGGGTCATGAGACAGGCTTCAGCTTCCCCCAGACTCACCAGTTACCTCCAGTTCAGTTATCTTGGTATAGTTGCTGTTGCTCTATTTTTTAGCCCTTCATCTACTTGAAAGTGGAATTAATTTGTGATGAAGATTTTGTTTAAAGAGAGAAACATGGGATTCTAGGTCTCATCTGCAGTGCCAGTGCGAAATCTAAACACCTGCTGTGCTGTGAAAACCTCAGGACATGGGCAGCTGTGCTTCCAACAAGGATATAGTAGAACGAAACACACTGTAGACAATTCTTACCTACTGCAACCCACAGTGTGACTGACTATTCTTACTAAGAAGAGAGATACTCTCCCTATAAGTCACACAAAAGAATATATCTGCCTTGATTGGAAAATGAATGTCTTTTAATTACCAGTTAAAATCCTTGCTATTTGGATCCATTGGCTTCTCTACTTCACTCCTTCAATTTTTTCCCCCAAATTCCACACACCCTTATCTTACTGTTACAGGGTTGGTTGTTATATAACTAATTAGTAAATTTGGATTTTTTTTAAAGATTTACTTTCTTATGTGTATGTGTGCATGTGCCCATGAATTTATGCCTGCCACATGCATACAGATGCCCAAAGAGGCCAAAGGGTGTCAGATCCCCCATGTCAGGTTATAAGCCTTCTGGCATGGGTGCTAGGAAAGTAACTCAGGGCCTCTGCAATAGCAGTAAGCATTCTTAACCACTAAGCAACGCCACCCCATCCCAAAATCAGAAATTCTTAAATGTCACATAAAAAATATCCAAGGGGGACTGGATCGATGGCTCAGAGGTTAAGAGCACTGGTTGCTCTTGCAGAGGACTCAGGTTCAGATCCCAGTACCCACATGGTGGTTAATAACTCCAATTCCAGAAGCTCCCATTCCCTCTTCTGACCTCATTGGACATTGCAGGACACAGGTGCACTCACATGCAGGCAATACACTCATACACATAAAATAAGAATAGTAAAGAAAATATTTAAAAAAAAAAAAAAAAGAAAAGCAAAGGGTATAAAAATAAGCTACTTTATGAGAAAAAGTTAACCAAACCAAGCATCAAATTTGTCTCTTAACAGCTTTGTATGCCATGGAAATTAAAGTTGAAAAGGATTTGAAAACTGGAGAGAGTACAGTTCTGTCTTCAATACCCCTCCCATCAGACGACTTTAAAGGTACAGGGATAAAAGAAAAAAAAAAGAACAGCAAAGGGTATAAAAATAAGCTACTTTATGAGAAAAAGTTAACCAAACCAAGCATCAAATTTGTCTCTTAACAGCTTTGTATGCCATGGAAATTAAAGTTGAAAAGGATTTGAAAACTGGAGAGAGTACAGTTCTGTCTTCAATACCCCTCCCATCAGACGACTTTAAAGGTACAGGGATAAAAGTGTATGACGACGGGCAGAAGTCTGTCTACGCAGTCAGCTCCAATCACAACACAGCGCATAATGGCACCGATGGCCTTGCACCCCTTGAAGTAGAGGAACTTCTAAGACAAGCCTCAGAGAGAAATTCTAAATCACCCACAGAGTACCATGAGCCTGTTTATGCCAATCCATTTTGCAGGCCTACAACCCCCCAGAGAGAAAAGGTAAGCCCTGGACCAAACTTTCAAGAAAGGATAAAGATGAAAGCTAATGGACTGGACAGCCATGCAGATGAATCCAGGCACAATATGGACAATGGGCTTTCAGAGGAGAGAGACCACGGCCCCACTCACACCAGCCCCATTCGGCCAGCCCCTCATCCTCGATCAATGGTTCAGCCAGCTGAAGAGATAGTCCACACCCCACAACAAAGGCTGGCGACTCCTTGGGAAGAATCGAGCATCTTGCAGAACAAACAAGAGGCCTCTCCAAGGGCTGGGTTGAGCCCCAGCAGAGCGACCGGAGAGTCAGGACCTCAGAGGTCTTCACCCATTTGCCAGGAGGAGGAAGATGTCAGATACAATATCGTTCACTCTTTGCCCTCTGACGTGGATGGTACAGAACCTGTAACCATGATTTTCATGGGATATCAGCAAGCAGATGAAAATGAAGAAGAAAAGAAGCTTTTGACAGGGTACGACGGGGTCATCCATGCTGAGCTGGTTGTGATTGATGATGAAGGGGAGGAGGAGGATCGACAAGCTGAGAAGCCATCCTACCATCCCGTGGCTCCCTGTAGTCAGGTTTACCAGCCAGCCAAACCGACCCCGCTTCCTAGAAAGAGATCCGAAGTTAGTCCTCATGAAAACACAAACCATAAACCTCCCCACAAAAATTCCATATCTCGTAAAGAACAGGAGGAAAGCTTAGGCAGCCCTGCCCGCCATTCTCCCTTGGGTGTTCCAATGGCTGGAGATGGGACTGAGGATCCATCTTTAACAGGTAATAAAAATGACAAGGCATGCCACTGCTGTTTACTCATGTGACAGGCATCTCTACTAATGAATGCTCTGACTTTCAGCTTCTGTGACCACCTCCTAAACTAGTATGCACTGAAAGTTTTTATTCAGGCTGATTCAGATCATTACCACCACAGCAGAGTGAGTCATTTCAAAAGATAAAGAAAGTGAAAATACACTTGCTCTCTCTCAATGTTGCGTTGACTGACCTTAGTTACTGGAAATTTGTCTTCTATTATGAATGATACTGTGTGTGGATGAATTTGAGTTGCTACTTAATGTGTGGATTATCAGAAACATAACTTTTCCCATCAGAATCCTATGACAACTATGTTGTCTGGGCTCTCTGTGACTTAAACTTTCTACATACATAAAAAATTGCCTTAATTTTGCAAGAAAATAGAAGAAACATATATTATTTTCTTTCCATTTTATTACTTTGCTATATCTTCTTCTCTATACTTTTATAGTTTTGTTAACTTCATTTAGTTTTTCTAAATAGAATGCATCTACTTTATATCATCTATAACTTTTACCTTTTCATAATCTTCTCCAACTTAGCATCTTTATTTTTTCTATTTCTAGACAGTTGCATTTCTCATTCTCCATGAAGTTTTTATGGCTTTGTAGCTATCTAGCTATTTTACTGTTGAATGAAAAATAACTTCAATACTTTTTTCTACAAAGTGATTGCTTCTCAATTTTAAATTCCTTGTTATCCCTTAAATATAACAAACTATTATCACCTACAACAAAATAAATAAGAATCTAATTTTTTAAAATCAGTTAGAGGGGCTGGAGAGATTGCTCAGTGGTTAGGAGCACTGGCTGCTCTTGCAGAGATTAGATTTTCAAAAGAGCAGAAATTATCTAAAGATATGGTAATTTGGAAAAAGATGGCTCTTCTGTTAAAAGCATTTGCTGCTCTTCCAAGGACGGGGGTTCAATTCCCAGCACCCACATGGTAGCTAACAACTGTCTGTAACTCCAATACCAGGGATCTGATGCCATCTTCTGACCTCTACAGACTTTGTACGACATGGGTGCACTTACATACATGCAGGCAATGTACTTCATACATGTACAAAAATAAAAATAATCAATAAATATTTTTTTTAAATCAATTAGAATAACTGTGCTTACCTGTGCTAAAGATGTAAGTCAAATGACAGACAGGTTCTAGATATTAAAAGTGGATAGTAATTTTAAATGCCTCTAATTGAAGAATTGCCGTTACAAAGTAATAAGTATCAGTACCAACCAGCCTAGCAAACAGAACCCAGAAGTTTTCTAGAAGTGTGACAATACTGATGCAATTCAAGATGTTTCTTCCTCAGCAAACCATAAGTGCAATCTTGAGTTGCTAATAACACAATAAAAGGGACATCCTTCCATTCTGTAAGTCCTTGAGTTAGGTAGACCAATTGCAAATTTAATCCTCTGAACAATTTCTAAGCACTTGGGAAACATTCGCTCATACATCTTCTTCAGGCTGTGGAGTAATGCTCGCCCACAATGTAAAGCTGCAGATGCTAAGTTCCCTTCTGTTTGGAGAATAAGCTTTGTTTGCTAATCAGTGTTTTCCTTTTAAATTCATTCTTAAAACAATGCATAAGACTTAGAAAATAGAAAAGCCTTGTTTATGATCAGCATCATGGATATGATCCAGTGTAAAAAGCTCCATTTTTGAGCTTGGATATTAGCCAGCTCCCCTAAACACCCTTATTCCTTCTCCCCTAACCATGTTAACACATTTACCCCAAGAAAAATGACAGGAAGTGACTAATGTTTCCAGATCATACTAATCATGCTACTGAACTAAAATTATGAAAACAGGAAAACCTTTTCCAGACAAACAATACAAAGTCCTGTACTATCAGTGAAGTATCTTGTAAACAAATGATCCAAATTCCTTGCCTTTCATCATAATATTGTTTTACATTTCTGCTTTCCAATTCATCACATGGATTATAGAGCTAATATGTTTACTTGAATGAGTTTTAAAAATAAGTCAATCATATTGTCACAGTTGCCTAAGGGTTTCAATTCTACAAACACAAGTGCATTCATTGAGCTTTTCAATACCACACACATGCACACACACACACACACACACACACACACACACACATGCTCTGATAATTAAAGACCCACCATTTAAGTTAATTCCTTTATTTATAGTAAATGTCTCCTGTTAAATATCAATAGTCCTTGTAGTCATAATAATTAAGAATTGTAAGCCTCTTTTCTCTTGGTATAAATATGGCTATCAGGGCCATATCTGAAAAGCAATTTTTAGAGGCTGGGGAGATGGCTCAGTGGGTAAATGTTCTTGGTCTATGAGCATGAAGACATGAGTTTGAATTCCAAGCATGCACATAAAAAGTCAGGCATGGCTGTGCATGCCTATAACCCTGCCATTGGGGAGGGGGCCAGAGAGAGGCAGATCCTGGAATCTTGCTGGCAAGGCCACCCAGCCTAGCCAAAGCTATGAGCTTCTGGTTCATTAAGAGACTCTGTCTCAAAGCAGTAGAGAGCAACAGAGGAAGACCCCTGAGGTCCTCCTCTAGCCTCTTCTGTGTGCACCTGCATACTCACATGTATGTAACACACACACACACACACACACACACACACACACAATTTGAAAGATGGAAAACAGTGCAGGCTGGATAATCTAAAGACAATATTTTTAGTACATTTTTGAACATGGTAAAACATGACAGAAAATTTTAAGTAATCATACGTCCATCTGCTTATGTAAATATAACATGGTATGATCCAGACACATCCTCCGTTGTGTGGCCCCAGCAAGCTTTTCATGGGATACCATGAGAGCCCTACCCCCACCATCAACAACTAGACAACTGGCTTTCTTTGGTAGACCCCACGTGCTTCTGTAGTTGTAGCCCAATTCTGCCTGCTTAGAGGTATCTGTGGAACTTCAGGATGAAGAGAGAGAAAACCTTAGCTTTAGATTTAGTCACACGCTTTTAGTTCTGAAATTGCCAACCTGTGGCAGGCAGTACAGACCAAGGGATGCTGATAGTGAGGAGCAGAGCTCTCTTCCACCAGGTTTAGGAATCTAAAACTATGTATCTGAGTTGCTATAGGGAGGCAAGGCCAGGATCAGAAGAGAACAGAAAAAGGGGAGTTAGAAGGAGAGCTGGTGGGAAAGTGGGGTGTGCTCTATGCATTGTCTGAGCGTGTTCTTTCTCCACACCTCCACATAGAATTCAGACCATGTGTGTTTACCATAGGCTTGGAGAAAAAAGAGAAGGGAAAACACATACTAGCAAACTTCACTGCATGTCTTGGCATACAAGGTGGGCCGCATTCACAGGATTTCAAGATAAAATGGAACTATACTAGAGAGAACTTTGTCTCTGCCTTAAAAACAGACCTTTGAAAAGTCCTTTAGGTCCCACTCTCTTTCACATTGGTGATGTAAGCGTCCACCAAACCCAAGAGCAGTGCTTCATGAAGCCTTGCCTTCTGCCCTCTGCTCCCCTCTTGCTGTAGAAATGCAGGTATTTCCCCCCCAGAGTTCACCACTGAACAGCTTTCAGTAGTTTATCAGTGAACAAAGGAAATTCTCTCAGCACAACCCAAATTCCAAGGAATATTCTTGGTTTTGCTGTGAGAAATTATTGTTCCTCTTAACTTCCAAGGGAAAACAATGCTTTTAAAAGTCATTGTAGTGAAATGAACT